ATTCCACACACCCTCAAGAATCCAATACCACCCACCACAACCCTTCAAAATCAATTCCAAAACATATCTACAACCAACCAACCAACCAACCGACCAACCACAGGAACGAACCCACTATCCATCTCTCTCTGACACATACATTCACCCAAGCACTACCACGAACATGACGTTCAGTAGATAGTCTGTCGAATTGTAATTCCCAACAAACAACTGTCACAGTATGCCTCTTTCACCAACACCTACAATCAATGTACATGTCTTCCTCCAACACTCAAAACCACTTCGAACACACACGAAGACATTCCAACTCCTCTCCATCTGTTCCACAATACATACTACGCAAATCATCTGTCAGTGACCATGGTTACCGATGTGTCAGACACAAAACACATCGGTCGTAGATGCACTACTATCTATGTAGCCTGTCTACAACTGTCACCGCCATCTAAATAATCGTTACGGGAATTACTGTTTGTTTTGCTTTTCTAGTGTTTATTGATTTGGATATAGTTATTTCAGGATGATGTTTATGTAATGTAGGTTGGTTTTGAGATTCTGTTTGTGTATATTTTTTGGATAATATGGGTGGAAATATTTGGGGATAGCGTCTTTACAAAGTTCTTCATCGAAAACTGAGAGAAAGAGGGAAATGTTTGTTGAATTGTGGATGTGGGAATAGGTAATGTCGCCATGGGAATAAGTTTACTGTTGGAAAAAGTATGAGATTATTGCGGCATGGTAAGTTGGGAATATATAGAAAGTAGGATTATGTATGCGGTAGGAGGATCAATTTGTAGTCGCAGCATATGAATAGGTACTTAGACTTTGTACCATTCGATTGAAAATCAGTCACGAAGGCTTTGGTTCATTTGATATGCATTCCGGGCAGGAGCCTTACTAGCAAATTTGAAATTTTAATACATGGTAGGAACCAAGGAAGGAAACACGAGTAGTAGTAGATGTGCTGCGTAGGATTCCCAATACGGGTGGAATTTTCGGTGGCTTCAAGCCAACTAACCCGCTCGGAGTCTAGGTTTTTGAGCTAAGGGAAGCGGTTCATGAAATTAGGAGATAGTACTGTTTACTAATTATGGTTTAGTCACAGTGTGACATCAGTCGAACTAGGTGAGACTAGAAGATCACGGTTAGTTAGGTCATCAGAGCATAGAAATTCGCTTTGTTCTAGAATATTTGACCCTTTTAAGGTAGATTTTGTTTAGTTTAAACACAAGAAGTGGTACAATATGGACACCAAGAAGATGCACGATGTAGTAATAGCAAAACATATGCAGAAAAAAGGGAGGGAATGGATAAAGGACTTCATCTAGAAAGGAGGCAGTTTTATTTGACAAGAAAAACAACATTCATCCTGTTACTGTCGAAAAGTGGGGAGAGGAAAGAAGGAAATTGGAGCATGTTCCTCAGTGGGTCAAATTACAAGTCATACCTAATAATGTTTGGAGCCACCACATGAACAACTTTCCGGACCCTCATCCAGGGAGTCGTGATGTGTTGTTAACCCATGCAAACTTAACACAAATGTCCTTCATGTCACGACGCCACGTCATAGGTTCATCACCTCTCCAATTTTCTATCTAGTCTCAGGGAACAGTGATGGTAGCTGGTTTTATATGTCCTCACTTTATCTGACGTATTTCTGTATATATTTTTGAGGATGCTAACAAGCCTCTTAGATACACCTTTTGTCTAACAGACACTTCCAGAGAAAACAGTTCTATCTAACGAATCAAAGACAGGCCTACTATAAAAAGCACAACGATTGTGGGCGTGCGATACATGTGGCGGTGTTCCAACAACTGAAGAAGGGTGAACAAATGACCGACGTATCAATGGCCTGAAGCAAGACAGCAGACAATATTTTAGACGCAATTGATGGCAAACTAATGCTCATATATGGTTGTCGCGTGTGTTACGTCGATGATGATGACTTCATTCCACATTGATAGCACATTGATCTTCACATTCCCACACTTTCTTGAACAATCCACTCAAACCGAGGACGTGAATCATTTTCCACTATCTTTAAAAGTAGCCATGGATAGATTTTTTGGACTAGGTGCCTTATGGAGCTTCATCACTTGGAGTCCCTTTCAGACCTCTGCTTCGATTGGTAGGTCGGAGCACTGTAGCTGATGTTGTTGGATGCAGCTGCTGATGGCCAGTTAAACCGCTCCCCAGCCATATGCCTTACAGACTGTCTCGATGACACCATGCTTCCTGTTGCCGATGGCTTAGACGAGCTAGAACACCTTCCGGTTGTTGATAGATAAAAGCTCGGCCACTGTAATATATTCACTCACATATAATCATACAAAAGGGTCGGATATGCCAGGGGTATTAAAAGTAATGTGAGTTAAATATGGAGAGGGGTTAACTACCGAAGTTTTGTTCATCAAATCAGCACTGAACACACGTACAGTCGAAGTGATGCAGCCCCCAACCCCGCACATTAGAAAATTGCGATAAATTACAGTTGGGTGGAGTAAGGGTGTAACAGAGCAGCAAGTTAAGAAGTTATGTGAATACAATGACATGCTTATATAAGCAATAAACTGTCCTCAAAAAATCATCCAGTTATCATCATTGCGTCATCGTATTATATCATTAAATGAACTTGGCGAACATGAAAATTTAAAACAATTAGTCCCTTTTATAAATTTGGATAGAGTTATTAGAAGACGGATATTATCTGAAAAGGTATGCGATGTATTTGCGCTATACATTTCGAACAATCTGATCCCGCAAACATTTACTTGTCAGCGTATTTCAATAAGCGCCCTTGGTCATTTTTTTAGATGACCTTAAAGGCTGAGTTAACATTAACCTTAGCGGACGTTTGCATGTCTTATGTTGAGAACTTGTCCCTTGATTTAATTTTTAAAATGCCCTTCTTTTGGAGAAATGTAGATGATATCATCTTGATATGTGACGATCATGAAGATGCGAGTCGTCCATACGATAGACTTAACTCTGTACAGAATCATATTAGTCTTACATGAGAGGAAGAAAGTCGCAACAGATTGCATTTTTAGACATACTTCTGAGTCGAAGAGAAGATGGTTCAATAAGACGATCGATTCACAAAAGCCCACTTGGACAGGGCAATACCTTAATTTTCACAGTTTCTGTCCATTACAGTATGTTATGTAGCTGCTGCTGAGTGGTTAATAGTAGTTTTCCCCGTTGCCAAATTATTGTTGTGTACTGGTCGAGAATTTAATAGTCCTGACGCAAGAAAGACAGAAATCAGAAGACCACTAGGTTTGCGATGATACTTCTATTTTCCAAACACAAGGAGAATCAATATCACACAAGTATGTGAGAGCAAAATATATATGAATGGCCGAACAAGTGAGTGAACAAATCAATAGACAGTCTTAACATGATTGGCTAATTGTAATGGAGTATCGATCCATATATACATAGCAAAATATAGCAGACATGTCAACAAACACACATATTATATATAATATAAGGAGAATATACATTGTTAAAGGAGACAGGTTCATCAAAGTGAAATGGTCACAGACTAAGAGAGCAACAGAAAGAGAGACCACCATATATATATATATATATATATATATATATATATATATATATATATATATATATATATATATATATATATATGGATACATATCACAGTATAAGAGAGGCTTGGTGAAATGTCTGTTTAAAAGGATTCAACGTATTTGCACGGCTGTTACAGACAAAGAAAACGAAATATTGATGGATACTCTTGTTGAAAACGGATATCTTTTAAAATTTTTAAACAGGTGTAGAAGTCAATTAGTCTTTAAATATACAATCTATACCTCCCCTAAGAAAAAGGTTTTTATGAAATTACCATATAACGGAGAAATAAACAGTAGGATTTTTAGACAAAGATTGAATTCGATCATCCGAAGAACCTACTATGCAGCCCAGCTTGTAATTGTGGAAAAAGCTAAATATATGCTTCACTGCAAAGCTCAAAAGTGCACAAGTGATTCTGTCACATCCCACGCAATTTACCAATTTTCGTGTGTGCATGGACACACATACATAGGGAGGAGCAATAGCGCTTTGCATGTGAAGGTGGGGACCATATCCCAAAATAGTTAGAAAAACAAATGAATTGTGAAAAGACAATAGATGCAGGTGTCAGACTACCAACTTCGTCTATAGCTAAACATATAATCGAGATGAACCATAAGATTGATGTTAACTCAGCCTTTAAGGTCATCTATAAAAACGGTCAAGGGCGCTTATTGAAATACACCGAGGCTATAGCTTTTATTTTTTTATTTTTGCTTACAGCTTGATTCCACACTGTATTTTTGGTACAAGTATGGAATTTCCAGCATGGATATCGGTAGCCCAAATTTTGCAGGCCGACCATAGATATCAGGTGTGTGTCGGCAGGGGGATCGAACCTTAGACGATGTGCATGGTCGGCAAGAGTCCTAACCACTGTGCCACTAAGGCATATAAGCACCCCCCCCCTGTGTATTCAAAAACAATTTATTATTACTCTTAACCTACCATGGTAACCCTTATTTGATTGGATTACCAAAGGTTGTGTTAATCATTCTTAAGTCTTCTTGTCACTTTGTTTAATTTAACTTTTTTCACATATATCGACTTGACAAGTAAATGTGTGCATGATCAGATTGTTGTTCGAAATGTATAGCGCAAATACATCACATACCTTTTCAGATAATCTCCGTCTTCTAATAACACTATCCGAACATGAAAATTGTATGATATTTTAACAAGTTACTGGCGATTGAGAAAGAGAATTTACATGAACAATACATAATAAAATATGTATATATGAGAACACATCCCTTTACTGTAGATTAGAATGTCCCATGAAAAACCTGCTGGAAATAATTTGAAATACGATTAGATAATATATCATGTTACACATAGAATATCTAACTAAGCAAGTGATCATCAAAATTATTATTATTTACAGATCCATTAACTCAACATACCATAAGAACACGTTGTATTAATCGAGATTTCGCCCAACATCGAAGAACACGTAAACGTCTTGGAACATTTTGAGAAGTTTGACCATCGGATGCTAAATATGCAGCTGTTTGAGCAGCTGATTAAAATAATGCATATAAGGTAAATATTAAATTAACAATGCAGTAAAGTTTAATGATTAAACAAGTAAACCGAAACTCGAACCCAGTGCTTATAATTCCAAAAGCCAAAGCGTTATCCACTAGACCACTTAGGCTACCTCTTGTGCAACGGGTCATACTAATTATTTAATTCAGTTTTAGATTTTCCCGCCGATTGACTGCACCAATAGTCTAAGGGTGGATGGCAACTAGCAGTGAAATCCAGGATGCGCATTTCGTCCTACTTGGGACTCTTCATCTGTACGTATCTGCATTCCGCAGTGAGTGATGATGTCACCATCTACCAATTAACTTTTACTTACATGCCCAGACATCATCAAAGCACCTGGCACAAGAAGCTGACATGTCAATTTGAGACCAAGAACTTCGGTCCAATCAATCGACAGAAAAGTCTAAAATTGAATTCCATAGTCAATATATTATCAGTTCTATGTAAGAGTAGAAAAATTGGACACTAGTAGAACATAATACAAGCGTCGGTGATTCACTGGCAAGAATACTCTCGTCAACTATACTACACGTGGTCCCAGGTTCGATTCCCAGCCGACTGACTTCTAAACTTTGCTTAACTTGGAAGTAAAACCAGAGACGAGATTAGGTTGGGCATATGAGGCTAGCTACTCCATTCCCTTAAAAAAATAAACACCACTGCTAAAAGAACTTCAAAGCTCAAGAGTGAAGCCCCATGTTCCATTCGCAGAATGAAAAGAAATATAATGCTGTCTGCTATATCAAGCAAACGTATCTAGTGTATGAAAGATGACGTGCTCAACTAACAAAAACTAAACTTAATAAAGCAGTAGATAGAACATTTCCTGCAGCTAAACTGGTACCCAATTTCTCAAGTAAACCAGCACCCACACAGCAAGTCAAGGATAAATTACAAAAGATGGCGTCATCATTGTGCATCTATGAATTCAACTGCTCATGTGGAGCTAGTTACATTGGCCGTACTCAGAGGGCTTTATCCATGCGCTCGCGTGAACATGTACCTGTATGGTTGAGTAAAGGAGTAACCAAATGCGTAAATAGTGCAGTCTTAGCCCACTTGGTAGATATTGCACACCCGATAAAGCCTCAGGATGGTCGGGGGTGGGTGTCTTGCGCTGCGGGTTGGCCACCCCTCCGCACACCTCTTGAAATGCTCCCATATGACCGTGCGTCTTACATAGCCTCTCCTGAGGAAGTCCTACTCACTGCCTTCACGTGGCGGAGGTGTTTCTCACTAAAGTGAGAGGGCAAAAGCGGATGCCCGGCGCTCTCCACCGGGTTGACTGTCCATTGGATGACAGTCTAGGGGAGATGGCTAAACCCTGATTCCAAACCTCCAACGACTGGCGTATGAAGCTCACCGGAGCTCACCGGCAGACGTATGGACAAAGGGCTTGTTGGATGTCCTGGATGTCTGGCCCCATTCAAAAAGGCGTATGAACCGAACTCCGGTCACCGGCTGCCAATGGATAGTGGACTCCTTACTCCACTCCTACTGCCTTGTAGGTCACACTTGGCTGTGTAAAGGCTAGAGCTGCACTCTCAAACAAAAGGCCGAGCGATGCTGGGGACATCACTCGTACCAAATTCCCAAGAAACTTCATGAACTCTCCTACAAACAACTCTCACCATGCTACGGCGTTCCCGGTAAGCGACGCGCCCTGTGCTCACCCGGTGGCCAGTGTGAAAAGTAAGCTAGCTGGGAAATTAACACTTAGAAACCAACTATTTGTTGGCTGCTGGAATGTTAGGACGCTGTTGGATCCTGGTAGCCAGTCTATCACCATGCGTTCTTTATATGACTACAAGGTAGACATAGCGTGTCTATCTGAAGTGAGGTTACCCGATCATGGCTCCCGCCGAATAGCCGTTCCTGGAACAGATTCTTCATTCTGGTTGCTTCATAGTGGCCCCCAGAATAATTCGGGACAACATGGGGTAGCATTTGCTCTCAGTAACAAAGCCAATAATGCCCTAATATCATTCGAACCGGTCAACTCCAGAGTTGCAGTCGCTAGGTTCAAGGGTTCCCCGCTCGACATTTCTGTTCTCGCTGTCTATGCCCCAACCCTCGACTCTGATGAAAGTATCAAAGACGAATTTTATGACAATCTTCAAGAGGCAATCAACAAAATCCCAAAGCGTGACGTTCTCATAGTAGCCGGCGATTGGAACGCCCGCACTGGCCCTTCAGACGACGCGACAAAACATATACTAGGCAAACACGGTCTCGATCAGCGCTGCCGTAATGGTGATAGACTTTTAGCTTTTTCTGATTACAATCGATTATATATCACCAACACTCGATTTCAACACCCCAGAAAACATCTTCTCACCTGGTATTCGAACGACGGTCGCACTGCACATCAGATCGACTACATCCTAGTGCGCTCACGCTGGATCTCCTCGGTGGAAGACTGTCGATCCTATCGTGGAGCAGAGGCCGGAAATAAAGGGGGATCAGACCATACTCTAGTTAGGGCGAAATTCAAACTTCGTTTAACGACACGCCAGAAGGCGCGACCTCCGAAGCGTATCAATGTTGCCCCGCTTCAATGTTCTACAAGACGACAAGCCTTGTCCAAACAAATCCAGGCCGAACTAAGCGCCGCAGATGAACCAACATCCACATCTTCTAATACACCCGAGACACGATGGAATCATTTCAAAGAAGTAGTCTCTAAAGCTTCAATGTCGCATTTGGGTACCACATCCAAGAAGCAGAAAGACTGGATTTCAGAGCACACCATGCTTCTATCCTCGCAAGCCAGAGACGCTCGCCTAGCAAAGTCTCCAGTTTATCGCTCCCTCAGGCGCAAAGCTACACAGTCTGCTAGGAACGACAGAAATCGCTATTGGTCTAACGTGGCGACTAACATGGAAGCAGCATCAAATGTAGGCGATTTCGGAAAACTTTATCGCCTCTTACGCCAATCATCTGGCAAACGCCTTAACAGTCATGCTGTGTTACGCACAGCATCAGGAGAAATTATTTCGGACACCAATGGTAAGATGGAACGATGGGCCGAACACTTCAAGCAGCTACTCAATCGCGACGCTGGTCAACCGTCTCATCGACCGATACGACACTTACCAACACCCTACGTAGTTGACTGCGATCCACCCACTCCAACCGAAATAGCTAAAACAATTAACACACTCAGAAACAAAAAAGCTCCGGGCGAAGATGGTCTACCCCCAGAAATATACAAGGCCTGCACTCCAGCGCTAATCGATGCACTGCACTCGCTGTTCTGCTCAATTTGGGAGTCCGAAACCATTCCTTCCGATTGGAGCACCTCAGTTCTGCTACCGTTCCACAAAAAGGGAGACAGGTCAATATGCGAGAACTACCGAGGCATAAGTCTGATTGATATCGCTGCTAAGGTTTTTGTTTCCATTCTCCTGAACCGCTTCGCGGCCGAACGCCACGTGCGAACAAGGCCAAATCAAGCCGGATTTCGACCTGGAAGAGGCTGTGTTGATCAATTATTCACACTGCGAAGAATTTTGGAACACAGGGACAAATTCCAACAGCCGACGGTTGCTTGCTTCATCGACTTCCAAGCGGCATTCGACTCAGTTGATCGAGGAGCACTCTGGTATCTAATGGAGCTCGACGGAGTTCCGACCAAGCTAATCAACCTGCTCAGGTCATACTACTCCAACACCAAAGCTCGAGTCCGAGTGAACGGTGAAGAGTCCCGCACTTTTGAGGTAACCAGCGGTGTCCGGCAAGGTTGTCCAGCATCCCCCATCCTGTTCAATTTCACAGTTGATTGGATTTTGCGGCACGCCCTAACCGAGCACCACGGCGTCCAACTTTCGCCCGATATTCACATAACCGACCTCGAATTCGCCGACGACGTCGTGCTGTTAGCTGAAAACTTCCCCGATATGCAACAGGCGCTCGACCAGATAAACCACCTCGCGCCTACTATCGGTTTGAAAATTAACACTTCCAAAACCAAAATGTTTTCGAACACATCCACCAGCAATGATGAAATCTTATCCCTAAATGGAGCACCTATTGAAATTGTGCCATCCTTCAGATATCTGGGATCCATAATGCTCCCCAACGGCCAAGCGAAAAACGAAGTGAATGCGCGAATCTCCAACGCCCGGAATGCGTTTCTACAGCTGAGGAGCGTTCTATGGAGCAAGAGAGAAATCAGTCTCAGGACTAAAATTCGGGTCTACCAAGCTTCCATACGACCCGTTCTGCTGTATGGCTGTGAAACCTGGCCTCTTCGCGCGGAAGATTTACGCAGACTCGAGGTATTAGACCATTGGTGTCTCAGGTACATTCTGCATGTTCGTTGGCAGGACAAACTCTCCAACGAAGAAGTGCGTCGGCGTTGCTACAACATCAACCAAATTCCAGTACTGGTCCAACAACGCCGCCTTCGGTGGTTTGGCCATGTTCTGCGCCGACCAGATGACGATCTGGTCAAATCAGTTCTAAATCCCTCGCCATTACCATCTTGGCGATGTCGCAGAGGCGGACAGCTGAAGACATGGCTTGGTACAGTCAAGGCAGATATGGAGTGCCTGGGGCTACAAACGGTCTACGGACTCCGTATGTGGAACAAGAATTGGATATCCCTATCGCAAAACCTTGCTTCAGATCGCCGCGCCTGGGCAGCGATGATTCGAGACGTTCATGAAGCCGGCTCATCCTCCCGTAGGAGATAGCCGAAGTAAAGTAAAGTAAAGTAAGTAAGATAAAACTTGACCAAACGTTCTCAGTTATTTACCGCATTCCTAGTAATTTATCTAAAGGAGCTCGACTACGTCTTTTATCAGTAGCTGAAGCGGTTGCAATTAATACCAGAAGGCCATCTCCCTTTGCATACAGAAGAAGTATGTTCAACCTCTGTGTTTACCTTGGCCTACAATAAAGTCAACACATCCTCTATTAACACAAAAAATTCCTTTCACAATTTTCTTTTCTTTTCCTTCTTCTATTTCTCTGTTTCATTGACAAACGTTCATTTTCGACTTGTATGATTTCATAATCTTTCTTATGATTTTATTACCTTAGGTTTAAGTAGTGCTTTTTTAACTTGCTCGCGTATTTACAAAATCCTCTTCATTCCACTTCATTTTATTCATTATTATTATTATTTGAAAATCATTCACCAGTAGTGCTTGTAATTTTACAATCATTCTTATTGTTGTTATTTTCAACCTTGAACTTATGTCTAGTCCGCCCCATTCGTTGGTTTATTTTCATATTGTCTCACACACTCTGATTACACTAACTCTCAAAACCTGTATTTTCCGTTGACTATATTTATATATATGCACACACATTAATTCAAGTGTTGGTTTGTAGGGATTTGATTGGTTTCAGGATTTCATCATGAGCTGACATTAGTTAGAGAACCATTGGAAAACCTGGGAGTACTGGACAGCTGTTTCGTCCATTAAATTAAATTACTTCATCTCATTTTGTCCGATGTTTTCATTGACCATGCATATTAAAAAGCTAACTGACTATTGTTCCATCCCATCTTATACTTGTTCCACAATACACTTTCTGAAATGTTTCTAATTTGCCTTTACTGACTGGCTATTGTATGCTTCAGTTAATGGATTTATAATTGTAGAGACGGAAGAAGAATTTATTGAAAACAATTGTTCGCTCTAAATATTTTGTTCTGAAAAACTAAAAGCCTATTACCGTCAAACCTAAGAATGCAAATAGTTAATCTTGAAGCTAATAACCATCTTTAATGTAGAAAATTTGGGGAAATGACGGATGTATGAATTTTGCATTAGATTAATTTAAATACATTCATGTTAAAATGAAGACTAGACTAGAGTTATGCGTGTATCGGATGAATGTTACTCAACAACAACAACAACGTACATATACGTCTAAATAGTCGTATCTTTTGCCTGAATACTGTCCCGACCGATGGCTGCTACCTTAACGTGGTGGTCGGGTTTGCATATTGTAATGACCCAACAAGCTACGCTGGCTAGAACCAATGTTCCTGCAGGTCTTACCATGCCAGTGAAATTGTTAGGATAGCGATTAGACTAAAAGCAATTACCGGAATGGTGTAGTATGATTTCTGTTCACACTATGCTGGGAGTGGTCGTACTACTGGGGAATAAGGATGTAACAGCAGTAAGGTGTTTCTCTCAGATGATCACCAGCATGCCAGCTATGCTATCTCGCCGATCTGGAGGGAAGAGATTAGAAAAGGTCGATCCCAAAAATTGTACATCCTAACTTACCCTACGGTGGTCCGTAATCGGCGGTAAGTTACTAATACGGAACCAAACTAAGGAGACGGGTTCATACAGACAGTGAGTAATCCATCTCAAGCAGTCTGCCGCCTGGACTCTGCGGTCACACAACACTAATTCTGTTTGTTCCAGGTACCCAAGTCGGGAAGTAACAACCACCCACACAAAGCTCTTTCCCGATCATCATTCTTCTTTATCCACGTCAACCTCATCACCTTTGATGCTTCTTCTGCCAACTTGTTGCTTTTCACTTGCATATCTTCTAGTTTGTGGGTCCATTTTATGCCTGTTTTCTTGATGGCCGCTGTTTGTCGCACTATCCAATCTACTGCAATCAGGAAAATCATTGGCGATAGTAGGCAGTCTTGTCTTACTTATATATATGGTCGCGCTATGTCATGAACTGGCAGAAGTTAGAATTGAAAGACCATTGGATCGGGTCCCAGTGGCTCAATGGTCTACGAGCTCGCCTTGTAACCAGAAGGTTCTGGGTTCGAACCCCGGTAGATGCGTACTGATGAGGAGTCCCAAACTAGAGCGAAACAGCTGTCCAGTACTCCCAGGTTTTCCAGTGGTTCTCTAACTGATGTCAGCTCATGGTGAAATCCTCCATACTTATATATTAATTTATTTTATTCATTTGCGTTCCCGGTGGAATTTAGGGCTTCAATCTTGAGCTTTGGAGAGCAAAGGTAGCAGTGGTTTTACTTTTACGGGTTGGTGTTGCTAACCTAATACTCAACCATCTCTCTCTTTGCTGGACTTACTAACGACCAGCTTAGCGAAGTTTACGAGTGTATCGACCAAGGATTGAAACCCGGAAGAAATGAGTGCCTCACGACCTGTACCACAGAGGCATATTTTAGTTCGGCATGTGAAACTAAGCAAACTGCTGCGAGTCTACACACACACACACACACACCCATTTAATGAGTACCTGGATATCGCAATCACACCCACGCCAACGATAGTGCAGCAAACGAGCCTTTCGTATATCCGCGCTCAGACTTCATCAGCAACCTGTCCACTTTTGGATGATGCAGCCTCTTAAATAATAATATGAAGTCGTAAACATATTCAATCACTCCACTTCGAATCTTCTGACTACAAGACATTGGAGACTATCTGATAAAATACGGGCTTGTGTAAATTACTCCATGAATAACAGTAATATTTTATTCTCTAACTGGTCAAGATATAAGTATTTTCAAAACATTTCTGTCTATCTGTTTCAGACATAGAACTTTGCATCGATGTGCGGCGGTTCAAGTCATCACACTGCCTCCATGTAGTACACAAAGCAACAGAAGAAAGTAGGAGAAGTGCATAATAGAGAGACAGTAAACAGAGGTGTGACACAAAGGAATAGTAAATAAGAATAATATAGTTTCATTGGAAATCATAAGTCACAAGGAGTGGATGCATCTGGACTAGCCATTGAGAACGATTTTGAACCATATCACCAATTGCCTTTACCCCAACCAGTCAGGAAGTTTACACCTTCCTACGTGGAGGACTGGCTGGCTTAAACTAACTGTTGTGGATTTCATTGACTGGTGAAGCCGTGTTTTGGTTTGACTGCTGCTAGCCCTTTTCCAGCCTGATGACTTCTATGTCAGGTAGCATTGCCCGTCGAGGAAGGCGATGGATGAATAGGCATACGTAACACATGTCTTAACCATCTCAGTCGATGTAGCTTCACAGCCTTGTCGATTGATTTCCCCTCCTTACCTATCACACTCGACCAGTGCCTAACCTCAATATTGCTCACCTTATTATACCACTTCACACGGGAGATAGAACGCAGGAACCTATGATCAAAGACAGCTAATCTCAGTGGGCAGGTCTCACAGCCATAGAGGAGGACGGAGCGGACTGATGAGCAGTACACACGCCCTTTCGTCGATAGCCGGATATCACGTCTACGCCAGAGACGCCATAAACTGGCATATGCGAAATTAGTCCTCTGTATCCGTGCTGAGATTTTGTCAGAGATCAATCCCTTGGAGCTGATGGTACTTCCTAAATAAGAGAAGCGGTCAACGTGCTCTACCACTTCACTCCGTATTTCTAAACTAGGAGTCAGTGTAGTCCAGTCAGTCCTGTAACATCATCTTGCATTTGGCGGGAGCGAATCGCATGCCAAACATTCGTAGATTGCAGCTCAAGGTGTACAGAAGACTCTGCATTTTGTCAGCGTCCTCGTCTAGAAGGACTATATCGTCTGCATATTCTAAGCCAGCGAGATTATTCCCTGGTGGCAAGTCAATCCCTGAGTCTCTGAAGTGAGTTAGGGTTAAGTCCATCAGTACATCTATGATGAAATTGAATAGAAACAGGGATAATGTATAAAACATTTATCAATGCATTAAAGATACTGGAATGAACAAGACGAAATATAAATGTACCGTGGTCTGTATGTGCAAGTAATATAGAAAAAGACTTAAGATAGATTCATATATATTCAAGAATATGAAGTAGTGAGTGCGAAGGACATTTAGAATTTCATATTAAGGCCTCACCATTGAACAACACAGTTAACGATTACTTTTTCTATGGAGGTGTAAAATTTCTGCAAGTCTGTTGAATAGTAATCAATTCTACTTAGTAACTCTCAAAAACTAACAAAGTCAGTGTGCAGAAAACATATATTAATACAAAATGTGAACACCAATGTAATGTCTCAGTTAACACCTATCCACCCACACACCACACACACACATATTAAAGAATGCAAGCAATATGAACGAACGAACATACCTGAAACTTTACGTCTATGCCTCTTTACAAAAGACAGACCTGAAGGTAGAAACATTTGTTTTGTTGATTTGAACGACATGAAGCATATATTTGATATAAGTGAAAGCAGATATGATAAAGGCTTGTGAGTAATTTTATCATCTTCTGCATTCAACGGATTGTTGTCTAACAGAGAATTTTTGCAAAAAATTTCACTTTTACACTTTTCAGTCGTCATCATAATATCCATTGAGGATAAGGCAGTTGAAGAGACGACGGTGAAGTGGAGTAAAAGGTGGAAGCATTTGAGGCTCTTGTATGATTGAATTCACTGGATATTCTAACATAAGATCAGACAGCTGTATGGGGGAGAAGAATAACAGAAATTTAGAATGCATTTTTTATTGTATGAAGGATTTCAGTTAGAAAACCAGCTGGAAGTACTGGGAGGCTGTTTCGTCCTGGTTTGGAACTCTTCCTCAGTACGCGCCCACCGGGGCCGAGTCCAGAATCAGGACGAAACAGCTGTCCAGTACTCCCTGTTGCTGGTTTTCCAGTGGTTCTCTAACTGATATCAGCTCATCATGAAATCCTCCATACAATCGAAAAAATCTCTACAAAATCAATACTTGGAAACGCATTATTTGCTGAATAAAATACATTACTGCTAAATAAGGATGATAATGGTGATGATATCGAGAATTCAACGACTACACCTTGAATTATGCACAGAGATCAGACAAATATTAGTGCAGAATACTAGGATCATTTGATCTCGTCAGTCCCCCGTCAGCTGCATTCAACCTATAACGAGTCACAATACAATCATTCAACGTAAATATTCTGTTATCATCATGTCCTCTAGAAAGTCATAATAGGGAAACAAACCATAAGCCAATTTTGGATAAAATTTCATTTTGATAAAATTACACAGTACGTTGATTGAACACTAGTGAGTAACTAGTGTGATGTATGTAGTCCTTTCTATGGTGTAGACTGAATTCTATCCTGCGCTTGTGGAGCGAGTTATATTGGCCGTTGTTCTAGGAACTTGATTTTTCGTGCTCACTTGGGAACATCTCTCACTATGGATAAGTAATGGTGTAGTGGAAACCATTAGCAGTTCGATATTGGGCCGTCTGATGCAACAGGTCACAAAGCCAGCCAGCGTGAAGGAATCCTTCTCTATAATCTACCGGGTGTCTCATAAATTTCCAAAATCATCGAAGCACCGTATGCTCCAAACAGCAGAGGCTATTGCGATTCGTCTCAAACAACCAGTTCTCTGTGTTCAAAAGAAGTCCAGCCCCTACTACTGCCTTGACTGACCTTCAGTAGAGACTATAAACTCATGAATTTGTAATATTATCTTTCCTAACTTACCTGTCTGACATTCAGCTTATTTTATGTTGATGCTATTGAGCTGTAATCTATCAATAGCATTGATTTGATGTTACTTAAACAGTGACATTAATGTTGTTCATAACACTAATTCATTCATTCATTCACTATAATGTATATATATAACTGTAGAGCCTGATGATGAGGGAGTTATCGAAAAGAGTACTCTTTGTTCAGTATCCATTCTTTTGAATTCTATCAGTCAGGTTTCGCAATGTGGTCACCACTGCGCTACTGAAACTTTAGGGTTTCAAGTCTAAAGAGCCAAGTGTTGAACTCGGAACGATTTGCTTTATTTACTTTAAAGGAGAACAATAACAATATACAAAAAATAACACTGTTCTTCAGTTTACTTTGAGAAGACTTACCTCCATACGGCGAATATCCACTGATAGAATAGTAACAAAGAAGAAAAGTTGCAGGAAGAAGTCAGTCGTCAAACCGACAACAGCAAATAGACAGAATTCTTGCATTGTCGGATGGAATGTGAAAAATCCCAAACCAAGTAACAATAGACCAGTTAGGTAAAGTTTAGTTAATGACCAACTTTCTTTGCTTAAACCTATGGATAGCCAGAAAAGATAATAACGTCTTAGTAATATTCTTCTGATGATGATATTAATACATTTAATAAATGATTAGTAGAGTAACTACTAGACATTATTATTATTGTTCCCTTGGGTTCCTAGTAGAACATAGGGCTTCAAATGCACGTCTCCACTTGCTTCTGTCTTCTGCTGTACTTTTCACCTGCATTCATCTTAGCCCATGCTGTTTCAACTCCTCTTCACACTATTTCCTCCATGTCACCCTCCCTTGGACGTCCCCCTCGCCGCTTCCCTTTCGGCCTGGTTCCACTCGAGCAATGTCCTGACGCATGCGCGATGTCACCCAGTGGCCTCCTCAGCCGCGAGTGTCCTACCAATCTCCCCTTTCCCCTACATATTTGTTGGGCGGTGATTGGTTCTTGTTTTGTTTTTTCCCAGCCATAGTTTCTTGTTGGTGATTCTTTCCGGCCCGGCCATCTGGTCTTCAGTATAGATCCAGTGAAGACAGCTGTTGATAAAGGTCTGCAACAGGCTGTTGGAAATATTCTTTGTGACCCGCCCGCCAAGTTCCTGATCCGTATAGGAAAACTGATTGACTTGACGTTTAAATTAAAAATCTAACCGAATTTTGTTGTTGATGCTGAGTGACGAAGATCGGTTTCCAGATTGGTTTCAGTTGGTTGATGAATGTGTTTCTCGCCTTCCCGATTCTCCCTCGATTCGACAACCTCGTTCGTTCCTCCTGTAGTTGAGACAATGCTCTCTACTTAGATAAGTGAATGAAGTAACCTCTTTCAAATCCCTCCCGTTGATGGTGATTGACGCTGGATGCTGTTGTTGTTGTTGGTTAGTTATTTCCATAACCTCCGTCCAGTCTATGTTTACCTGGAGTCCTGTCTTCACCGGCTGATTCTTCGACCTATTTGTCGGTTTTCGCTTGTAAGTCTTCGATTTTGTGTGACATCAAACATAAATGATCCACGCAAGAAATCCAGGTCATCTAGGTTCTTCACGTCGGTCCAGGATATCCCTGTCTTCTCGTTTCCTACCCACTGTCTGACGCATAATCCAGTCAATCCACCACAATTAGGAATATCATTGGTGATAATAAGAACCCTTGTCTGACTCCTGTGTTTACTCCAAACGCCTCGCTGAGTTTTCCGTTGTGGATCACTTGACATGTGCCGTTGTCGTACAGCTGTTGAATAAGGTTAACGAATATTTTGGGTTCGCCGTAGTACTCGAGTAGTTTCCAAATTACTTCACGGTCAACGCTGTCTGTCGAAGGCCTTCTCAAAGTCTATAAAGTTGAGGTAGAGGTTTGATTGCCATTCCATGCTTTGTTCGATGATGATGTGTAGAGTTGCAATTTGGTCAGGACATGATTTGCCTCTTGCTGAATCCAGCTTGTTCTGGTCGAAGTTCTGTCTCCAGTGCGTCCTTTAATCTCTCCAGGATGATGCGACTCAGGATTTTACTTGGTATCGACAGGAGCATAATTCCTCGCCAGTTCTTGCAGAGTCCTAAGTCGGCCCTTCTTCCAGACCTTTTGCAACTACTAGACGTACCTGACTAAAATAGGAGTTCAATAGACAATAAGGAATATTTAAAATAATAAAGTGAAACGACCATCTAAAACAGATAGTTATGCCAGTAGATGTTGATTGTGGTGTCACTGAAACAGGCGCCACAAAACTGTATATAATTATACACGGTGTTCCAAAGGCATCTATCACATATATAGCGAAATGCACTAACTTTTCTGATTTTTTCGAAGGTAAGTTACAGTAGATTTAAGTTGATACCAGAATCGTTTTTTGATTGGACACTAGTCAGTAACTAGTGTAATGTGTCTAGTCCTATCTTCACTGCAGACCAAATTCTATCAGTCAAGCTTTCAATGTGGCCACCATGCCACTAGGGGGCTCGCCATAACGGTGCAATGTGAATTGTTGGTATTACATGGTTGAAGGCAATCGGCCACAGGAAGCTTTACTTGACCTAGGTTTCGTGCTAATTGGCACTCATCAGTAAGGCTTGACTGATAGAATTCAGTCTGCACCGAAGATAGGACTAGACACATTACAAACTAGTTACTGACTAGTTCCCAGTCAAAAATATCTGATACAGCTCTACAAGAGGTCAATCGCGAGCCTGAACAGCTCAGTCGTAATATCTCTGACTGACTACAGTACTGAGTGACGCGGGTTCGAATCTCAGAAGGGACATGAGTTCCTTCAAGGAGTTTGCAGATACGCCTTGCTGACTGACTAGTGAGTGCCAACTAGCACGAAACCTAGGTCCAAGGCTTCTTGTGGCCGATTGCTCCAGTCATATAATACTAACAATGATACCAGAAGTACTTACGATAAATCCGGTTGAACAGTGAAGATGAATTTTAAGCAGGCCATGTTTTAAGTGTCCGTTACTCATTAACTATCTCTCTCTCTCTCAAAAAGTGATGGTCAATTACCATCTAAAACTAGAGCAGACTACAAAAAAATGTTCATCTTCATGCAGTTGTAACAGTTAATCAACCTTTTTGTTTCGATTAATACAGTGTGTCGGTGGCACAGCGGTTAGAACGCTCGCCGACCATGCACATAGTTCGGGGTTCGATCCCAGGTCGACGCAATCCTTTACCGCGCTAAACCAGCAGTGAGACTGGTAAAGAGAGAAGGTTGGGTATGAGGCTAGCAACCCCATCCTGTGAAAATCAACACTACTACAGAAACTTCAAGCCTCCAGCTTGGAGCCCTATGTTCCACTGGGAACGTGAAGGTGTCGTTTTTCGATTAGTACGGTTTTCAAAAGGTACATCAACCTCTCGATTGGTCCTGTGCTGGGTGGCTGGAAGAAATAACAAATAAGTTTGAATGTTTTTTTTTCTTCCAAAAAGCGAACGTGTTTCTCATTCTTTGCTACTTACTTTCAAACTATAGTAAGTGACAGAAAAGCGCGCGAAAACACATTGTCATATTTTGTCATCCAACCATATCGTTTATAATAGTAGAACAGTGAGAGCAAGGCGTTGTCGAACAACATCCCCTTACGGAATACACTTTCTGCTTTATCCTCATACACTTAGAGGATTGTGCAGATATCACACCCAGAGACTAAACAGACAGAATTAGAAAAAATATCTTCCAGTGGTTGCCCAATCGAGAAATATAATAAAAACAGGAGGTATTGGGCGAAGGGGGTGAAAAAGCTTTTCTGTTAGCCGTGAAGAAGAGTGATTTATGCACATATTAAACTGTTTCAATCCGCTTATTTATACCTTAAATTTCGGAGGGTTTTTTAAAGATATAATCTACCATGTATTTTGTTGAAGAAGGCTAGTTGTTTCGGTCATCGTCTTCCAGGAGGTTCAGTCTAGTCAAGTTGGACTCACAACCGCAGTATCACTTCGTTGTAAAAGGGAATTCACCATTGGATTTTCCAAATACTTAAAGACTGAATAAATAAAAAACTAATCCAAGTGGCTGTTGTGTAGGCGTCTAACGAAAACAGAGTATTAGCTCGTGAAGTGTATTGTTCTTGAGACAAAGAGAGTAAAATATCAAACGCTCCAAAGTGAAATCTGCAATATAATATCAGGAGACGAAGAACGATAACTTAGTCAGTTACATTATCAAGTGTTGGCTGATAGAGATTTTATTGATTGATTTTAGGTTAGTCTGTCTGCCTGTTTTCGACATAGAACTTTGCACCGAAGTGCAGCAGTTCAAGTCGCTACACTCCCTCTATGTACCACACAAATCAAGAGAGGAAATGCATAATAGAGACAGTAAACAGAGGTGTGAGACAAAGGAATAGTAATGACGAAGAACAATATAGTTTTATTGGAAATCATAGGTCATAAGGAGTGGATGCATCACCATATCATCAATTCTCTCCAGCATTAATTGGTTTTTACTGTCCAGAGGACCTCAACCACGAAGTCTACACCTTCCTACATGACAAGCTTAAACTAACTGTTGTGGGTTTCATTGAGTGATGAGGCTATGTTTTGGTTTGACCGCCGTTGGCTCTTTTCTAGCCTGAGCTTATGTCAGTTAAAATTGCCCGTAGAGGAATACAGGCGATGACTAGACATACATAACACATGTCCTAACCACCTCAGTCGATGTAATTTCACGATTTTAAGTTAGATCATGAAGTGACATCACCGTTAAAGAATCGTTGCAAATCTTGCCGTCATTCTATCAGCTGATCTTTCCTGGTCGTCTCATATCTTGATGATTTCTAAGAAAATATGCCGTCTTACCTTCTACATCAAGAAGTTAGGACATTCTGGTATAACCCAACCCTTACTCCTACGATTCGTTAACTCTTGCATCCTGCCTATTATTCTCTATTGTTCCCCCTTAGTTTTTCCAGGGCTACTGAAGAAAGACTATACCTTATTACCCAGGATGTTAAAGGTTGTCAGCAGGGTAAGCTACGTAGCACTTAACCAGCTTGTTAATATTCTGGTTGACAGCCACATGGATTCATGTGAAAAATGGGCTAAATCCATTCTATCTAACTCACACCACCCCCTTCATTCACAACTCTCCCCTTGTATCTCATCAGGCAAAACCAGAAGCCTATATAAAAGAATTTACGCTAGCACTAGCAAGTACAAAAACTCAACCATACCCTACTTAGCTCGTGTTCTGTGAGATAAAGAAAGCATTAGGCGTGAAACTTATGACTCATTAAATAGTCAGTAGAACAACTGGATCTCGTCTTTTCAACTCGACCGAAAGCTGCTACCTTGACGTGGTGGTCGGGCTTGAACACCGCAATGACCTAATCAAGCTATACTGGCTGAGACTTATGTCTCTTGAGGTTCTACCATGCCAGGCAGGTTGTTTGGATAGCGGTTAAACAAAAAGCAGCTACCTCATCCAATACCATGATCCAAACAAATTCACAAAATTTCATGCCGGATCGGCCGTGGCCCGGATTAACAACGACCGCGCTTCCTGCTGCCGTGTCACAGGGCGGGAGTGATAAGTATGCTACTGAGGCACACAAAACAACAAAGAACGAACAAAAACAGGCCGCGTGTGACCGGCCACAAGCAGTTGTCCCCTGGGCTCTGCGGTCACGCAACCAACTTCCACGGTGTGGGCAGCCGGGAAGTAACAATCGCCCTCACAATCCAAAACGCACACAAAACCTCTCTAATCCTCACTTATCTTTGTCTTCATCTTCATCTCTATTACCTTACCTTCCCCCCAGTGATGCAACTCCTCTACTTGATGGCTCCTCACTCCCTCTTCACTCTGTGTCCACTAAAAACGACGAAAGCCAAAAAACCACCACGGATAGTCTCCTAAAGCCACGCCACCAATTTCATATAGGAGCATTTAATGTAAGGACACTTTGCCAAATAGGACAACAAGCATCACTAGCTAAGACCCTGGCATCTCGAGCCATTGATGTATGTTGTGTTTCAGAAACACGCATACAAGACCCAAGTGTGGTTATTCACCTAACCCCACCTGGCCAACAGGATGAATCTTCAAAATTCACCTTGAGGGTGTCAGGAGATGCCACAGCTAGTTCACGGGGATTAGCTGGCGTAGGGATAGCTCTGAGTACTAGGGCAGAAAAGACATTGCTTGACTGGATCCCAGTAGATAGCCGAATGTGTGCTGTCCGTCTGAACGGATCAGTAAGAAGGAGAAAGGACTGCACTACTCGCCGATGCCTTTTCGTAATCTCCGCCTACGCCCCCACTGACTGCAGTTCGGATGAAACGAAGGATGAGTTCTACCAAAAGCTGTCTAGTTTGGTGAGAAAGGCTAAACGCTCAGATATAGTCGTTCTAGCTGGTGACTTCAACGCTCAAGTAGGGAAATTGTGTCAATCTGAGAAGGATGTCGGTGGCACCTATGGAGTTCCGTGCCAGCGAACCGACAACGGTGACCGTCTCCTACAGTTCTGTTCAGATAATCATTTGTTTCTTGTAAGCACTAACTTTAAACACAAGGAGAGACACTGTTTAACCTGGCGACCCCCATCATCAAACCAACGCTGGACACAAATAGACCACATAGCAATAAGCTATCGTTGGCGTGGGTCGGTAGGAGATTGTCGCTCCTTCTGGAACACGTGTGTAGATACCGATCACGCACTGGTCCGGGCTCGTGTGTGCTTACGACTGAACGGACGTAGGAAACAGCTGGCGGTAAAACCATTACGCCCCCAGCTCGATCAGGAAACTAAATCCCTATTTGAGGAAGAACTAGCTAAACGCATATCTGAATTCGACAGCTGTGCTCACCCTGGAGAAGCCTGGAAGAATATTCAGTCAGCTATAGATACAGCTGTAAAAGCTGTGAATAAGACAAATCCAAAGGTGAGTAAAAACCACTGGATTTCGACTGCCTCATCCGAACTGATAGATGCTAGAAGACTTATTCCGGCGAGCTCCGAATTCAATGAGGAGCGAAAGCTGCACAAAAGGAAACTTACTAAAAGTCTCCGCAAGGACCGTGAACAGTGGTGGGTGACAAAGGCGAAAGAGATGGAAAAAGCATTGGCGATAGGCAACACTAGGCAACTCTTTAGACTCATCACAGAATCGGGGGGAAAAGGCAATTCATAAGTGAGACTATTTCTGAGAAAAATGGCTCCTTAATTAGCTCTCAGGATAGACGCCTTGAACGCTGGAAAGAACACTTTGAGGAACAATTTAACTTGCCTACAGCCACACTGAACCTCCCCGCCATCCACCACGTACCCGAATGGGATATAGACACTGGTCCGCCGTCTGTAGTGAGGTTACAAAAGCTATCAGTAATTTGAAACGAGGCAAAGCGGCAGGACCCGACGGAATTATTCCGGAGGTGTTTAAATATGGGGGTGACATACTAGTTTGTAGATTAACTGAGGTACTAGGCAAAGTCTGGGAATCAGAGACAGTACCATCAGACTGGGGTAAGTCACTCATTATACCGATATTCAAGAAGGGAAACAAGTCCTCGTGTGATAATCATAGGGGGATCAGCCTAACGAACATAGTCTCTAAAATCCTAGGCTCAGTAATCATGCATAGACTAAGCAGAACTCGGGAGGAACAGACAAGGGAAAATCAAGCAGGCTTTAGACCAGGTAGAGGGTGCATAGATCATATCTTCACTCTTCGACAGATTCTAGAACATAGACACACTTTTCGGCGTCCAACAATTGTCATATTTCTTGACTTGAAGGCGGCCTTCGACTCCGTGGATCGAAAGGTACTATGGCAATGTCTGACTGTGAAGGGAGTGCCAAGAAAGTACATTGCACTAATCAAGGCACTCTATTCAAACTCACGTAGTCGTGTAAGGGCTTATGGGGAATTGTCATCTGAATTAGTAACAACCAGTGGTGTCCGACAGGGATGTCCACTTTCCCCATTTCTGTTTAACTTCATCATAGATATGCTAATGGAAGTATCCTTAACTGAACGTAGTGACTTAGGAATCGACTTGTTACCAGGGAATAATCTAATGGACTTAGAATATGCAGATGACATAGTCCTGTTAGGGGAGGATGCTGACAAAATGCAGAGTCTTCTGAACACCTTGAGCAGCAATCTTCGTATGTTTGGCATGCGATTCGCCCCTGCAAAATGTAAGATGCTGCTACAGGACTGGACGACGTCAACCCCTAACTTAGTGATAGGGAGTGAAGTGATAGAACATGTTGACCACTTCACCTACTTGGGAAGTTGTATTAGCACCAACGGACTGATTGGCGATGAAATCTCAGCACGGATCCGAAAAGCTCGAGCTGCTTTCGCTGACTTACACCATCTCTGGCGTAGGCGTGACATCCGGTTATCAACCAAGGGACGTGTGTACTGCTCATCAGTTCGCTCCGTCCTTCTCTATGGCTCTGAAACATGGCCAATACGCGTTGAAGACATGAAAAGGTTGACTGCTTTCGATCATAGATGTCTGCGATCTCTGTCTCACGTTAGGTGGTTTCACAAGATAAGTAATGTTGACGTTAGGCGTAGAGTGTTGGGCAAAGAGGGAAAATCAATCGACGAGGTTATAAAGTTACATAGACTAAGATGGCTAGGTCACGTGCTGCGCATGCCTAACCACCGCCTCCCCCGACGGGCATTGCTAGCTGATATAGGTTCAGGTTGGAAAAGAGCCAGTGGTGGCCAAACAAAAACATGGCATCAATCCATGAAATCCTTGACAGTTAAACTGAGTCAGGTAGGGAGATGCAGACTCCCGGGTTGGGGCCCTCGGGACTCTAGGAATCAATGGCTGGAGACAATAGGTGACATGGCTCAAAATCGTTGTCAATGGCGCAGATGTATTCAATCTCTGTAATCTTTCATATTCCTTTCTACCATTACCCATTCTGTTTCACTCTTATATTTGTCAAACTCTATTAATTCTCTTCACTCATCTTCTTGTCTACCTCTGTGTGCTATTTGGAACGTGGCAACTCGAACTGGTGCACTTCGGTGCCAAGTTCTATGTTGAATCCAGACTCGTATCATTTACATGTACAACGTTTTCTTTCTTTCTTTTCCTTCTCTCTCTCTATTTTTTTCTGTTATGTGCAGCTTTATTTCTTTCTTCTGCTTACGCCAGTAAATATGCTAGAACCTACTTTTCTAGCGCCTTCAAACATTCTGTTCAATTTTCGGCTTTGCTACCGACATGCTAATATTTTGTTGTTAAAACTAACTGAGATTACCCTTAATCTATGTAGAATTTTATTTATTGTTAATGCACTAACTGGATACAATACTGTAGTGAAATGCTGAGAATTCCATTCTGTATCACAAGTACTGTTTCGGAATAAAGCAAATTATTATTATTATTAATACTGAACAACTCTTCCGTTGTAGTTCGAGAATCTCCACTAGGAATCTTAAACATGACGAAACGGTGGTCCAGTAGTCACTGATATATAATAGTTGTTCTCTAACTGGTTTCTCAATTGGTGATTTTCACTGACATCACAGTCAATTAGGAGATTGTTATCACTGATTACACAGGTGGATACAAAAAAAAACCCAATGTAAATTTTCAACGAACACCGAGAGATAAAAATCTAAGTGGTGATGACAATGCACAAGAAATGAGAAGTGTGTACGTATGTGTGCGTGTGCGCGCGTAAATTGATTAACCTCCCTAATTAATCACACTTTGAAGAGAAACCTTTTCTAGACGCAACTAAAAAAGAGAAGCAGACTACATATATATATGTGAGTGTAGGTCTCGAGTGGAATACACTGGAAAAACAAGGAAAAATAAACAGTTTTTGAAGATTAATTATTTAGTGGAGTAGCAGTATCAATAGTGAAAGATTTCCATTAATTAAAATCTATCAACATGTCCGATGAAAGATGCAACTTATCTATCTAATAAATTCAAGGAACACTTACCTTCAGCAATACGATACTTTACTGGGAGGTCAACAGGAGTTGCAACTACAGACTTTGTAAGAACGATAACATTTTCAAATCCGATTAGAACAACTAAATAGGGGAAAACTTCACTAAAATAAGGGAAGAATTAAAGGCAACAGGATATAATTAATAAGTGAATAACGCAAATTAGTGTTATGCAGACTTTTCAGTACCATTCAGTAATCGATGATAGGAAGTTTTGTACAAGATAACTACCTAGAGTAAGCATAACAATCACTGAGTTGCAACCTTGCTTTGTTTTGTTTAGGATATGAAACTAGGAGCTGCAAGTTCGTCACAAGGGGAGCACGATACCGTTTATTTACCGAGTATAAGTTGAACCATCCAATTACTTTCAAGTATTGGTTTTGTAGGGATTTTATTTGATTGCACGGAGGACTTCATCATGAGCTGACATCAGTTAGAGAACCATTGAAAAACCTGCAGGGAGTACTGGGCAGCTGTTTCGTCCTAGTTTGGGACTCTTCATCAGTACGCATCCACAGGGGTTCGAACCCAGGACCTTCTGGTTACAAGGCGACCGCGTAGACCATTAAGCCACTGGGACCCGACCCAATGGCCAGCCAACCCATGAATTCTAACTTCTGCCAATCCACGACATAGAGCGACCATTTCGCAATGTCCTCTTCGATGAGTTACTGCCTCTTCTTCAACCTGCTGTACCCTACTGGTCACGGCTTCCCACTAGAACCCCAGGTTAACTGCCTGAAGATGAGGCAGTAACTCATCGAAGAAGACACTGAGAAATGGTAGCTCTATGTCGTGGATTGGCAGAAGTTAGAATTCATGGGCTGCCCGTTGGATTCGGTCCCAGTGGCTCAATGGTCCACGAGCTAGTTCGCCTTGTAACCAGAAGGTCCTGGGTCCAAACCATGGCGGTGGGTGTGTACTGCTGATTAGTCCCAAACGAGGACTGGTGAAATAGTTGTCCAGTACTCCCAGCTGGTTTTCCAGTGGTTCTCTAACGGATGTCAGCTCACGATGAAATCGTCCATGCAATCCAATTACTCACCGATGACTTATTGGTTTCCAATAGTTATCGGTGTGTGTGATGAAATTCACTCTGTAATCAGTCGAATTCTAGTCGTTTAAGTATTACAGTTTTCAGTAATGTCCCATGAATTATCCAATCAACGTTCGACATATATTTTTTCCACCAGCATTACTCTTTATTTATGTTGCTTTTTTTGTTCATTTCAATAACTTCTATTGCAGTTAATTCCACTTGTGAGATGTTTACACAAAATCCTCAAAAATATTAAATTAGATCCAATTATCATCAAGTCACAACTGTTATTCCTGAACTATTCAGGTTCACAATCTATTTTATGAACAGGTCTGCCGTTTGTTCCTGAAAGATATCTAATCAGGAATTTTTCACCTCACTATGAATTTGTAAGTAAGTACATATTGTTTTAATTGAATTTTTGATTTTCCCGTCGATTGATTGGACCGAACTGCTCGGTCTCAGGTTGACATGTCGGCTTCTTGTGCAGATGCTTCGATGATGTCTAGGGATTAAGTTAGTATTTAATTGGTGGATGGTGACTAGCAGTGGAATCCAGCCAGGATGCGCATTTCATCCCATTTGGGACTCGTCAACTAGCTGGATGTACCTGCATTTCTCAGTGAATGATGATGAGACCGAGCATTTCGGTCCAATCAATCGACGGGAAAATCGAAAATTCAATTAAATTAATATGACCCGTTGCACAAGAAGCAGTGGCTCTTGTGGCCCAAGTAGTCTAGTGGATAACGCTTCGGCGTTTGAAACTATGGGGACTGGTATTGAGCCTCGGTGGAAACATCATCACTCATTGAGTGGAGGAATGCAGGTACATCCAGATGACGAGTCCCAAATAGGACGAAGTGCGCATCCTGGCTGGATTCCACTGCTAGTCACCATCCACCAATTAAATACGTATTGAATACAACTGAAGATGAACAAACAAGTTGTTAAGCGTTTCGTACTGACTACTGCTCATTTTATAACCAACTATAAGGCAATAAAAATCACTTATCATATATATACATAAGCACACAAACACATACATACACATTTTAAATACAAGAGAAACGTACCCTCCATTCAATGTTGGCATAACAAGACCAATAGTTACACATAGACCGATAGACATGAATAATGAGGCAGCTACAGTAACACATGCACTCAAAGCTAAACCCCATTTCGATTTGACCATTTCCAGTTTACCTAATAATTAATACACAAAAATGTTATCTCAAAACTGCATACATTATGATTGAAAGGATAAATGATTAATTTAGACAGACATATTTAATAAAAAATAAAAAGAGAGCCTGTTTCATATCAGGTATGAAAGATGAAAAATGAAAAAATCAATAAAGTAAAAAGCGAAATTTTCAAATATTAGTTTTGCAGGGATTTTTGTTTGATTGCACGGAGGATTTCATCATGAGCTGACATCATCAGTTAGAGAATCACTGGAAAACCAGCTAGAAGTACTGGACAGCTGTTTCCTCCTTCCTAGTTCTTTTTTTTTATTTACAGCTTGATTCCACACTGTATTTTTGGTACAAGTATGGAATTTTCAACATGGATATCGGTAGCCCAAATTTTGCAGGCCGACCATAGATATCAGGTGTGCGTGCGTCGGCAGGGGGATCGAACCTGGTTTGGGAAGTGAATTGACAGAAGTTAGAATTCAAGGGCCATTGGATCGGGGCCCAGTGGCTCAATGGTTTGGGTTCAAACCCCGGTGGGAGCGTACTGTTGAAGAGCCACAAACTAGGACGAAGAAGCTGTCCAGTACTGCCAGATAGTTTTCCAGTGGTTCTCTAACTGATGTCAGCTCATGATGAAATACTCCATGTAATAAAAGCGAAATTATTTGAAATTGCAGAAACTCGTAAAATGAAATAGAAAGATTAAATTAGTATTGGTGACAAACGGTATACGTTGATAACGATGATTAGGCATTCTAAGCAATCGGTAGACACCATCAATATGGTGGATTAACACGCCATGATGGTGGTGGTAGTGACTGACAGACAATGTTTCGACATATATTGTCGTCGTAGATCACGATGTACTAAATATAACACTGATATTCACATAAACTGTGGTCAAGATTTGACTGAATAGTTCCCAAAATAATTGGTCACCGAGTAAGTAGTAGACGTATGCGTAAAGATTATATTTGTAAAATTCTAAGAGAAATTGAAATGATTAATTCCAAAATTTGACCTCAGACTTCTTAGAAATGTTAGTCTACTTTTGTTAAACACTGTAAACAATGTGTACTTTTGCATCAGAATTTTAGTAATTACGTTTGTCTGAAGTTCATGGTCGTGGATAACTTAATATGAAAAAATACATATATATGTGTATATGCGGTATAAAATGCTGTTGGTGCATGTATGTATACTCGTAAACACTCGTAAATCATTTGTTAGCTACTCCATAAGAAGATATAGACAATTGGGTATTTAGATCATATATAATAGATTAGCGATACATATCCATTTTTACTTTTTTTAATCAGCACTTGCTATGCATCATCTAACACCACAACCTGACCATTGAGAGTGAAAGACATGAAAAGATTAGCTGTCTTCTATCATAGGTGCCTGATCATTCTATCTCGCGTGTTAGGTGGTGGTATAACAGAGTGAGAAATACTGAGGTTAGGCCTCTATTGAGTGCTAAGTAAGGAGGGGGGAATCAATCGACAAGGCTGTGAAATTACATCGAGATTCTGACCAAGTATGATTAATTAGTGATACATAGCCATTTTTATTTATTAATCAGGATTTCCTATGCATCAGCTAACATCAAACCGTCAATTCTGTTCAAACTGTTAGTATCTATAATTTTACGATCAGACGTATTTTCAAAATTATGGAATTCATGATTACAGTCTAACTAAATTCTAATTCGGTGGTATAGCGGTTAGGATGCTCGCCGACCATGCACATGGTCCGGAGTTCGACCCCCGGCCACCACCGCAGTCCTTTACCTCACTCAGCTAGAAGTAAAGCTGGAGAAGGGGAAAGGTTGGGCATGAGGCTAGCACCCCCATTCTGTCTGTCTGTCTGGATTCAACATAGAACTTGGCACCGAAGTGCACCAGTTCGAGTTGCCACCTTCCAAATAGCACACAGAGGTAGACAAGAAGATGAGTGGAGAGAATCAATAGAGTTTGACAAATATAAGAGTGAAACAGAATGGGTAATGGTAGGAAGGAATATGAAAGATTACAGAGACTGAATACATCTGCGCCATTGACAACGATTTTGAGCCATGTCACCTATTGTCTCCAGCCATTGATTCCTAGAGTCCCGAGGGCGCCAACCCGGGAGTCTGCATCTCCCTACCTGACTCAGTTTAACTGTCAATGATTTCATGGATTGATGCCATGTTTTTGTTTGGCCACCACTTGTTATTTTCCAACCTGAACCTATATCAGCTAGCAAAGCCCGTCGGGGGAGGCGGTGGTTAGGCATGCGCAGCACGTGACCTAGCCATCTTAGTCTATGTAACTTTATAGCCTCGTCGATTGATTTTCCCTCTTTGCCCAACACTCTACGCCTAACATCAACATTACTTATCTTGTGAAACCACCTAACGTGAGACAGAGATCGCAGACATCTATGATCGAAAGCAGTCAACCTTTTCATGTCTTCAACGCGTATTGGCCATGTTTCAGAGCCATAGAGAAGGACGGAGCGAACTGATGAGCAGTACACGCGTCCCTTGGTTGATAACCGGATGTCACGCCTACGCCAGAGATGGTGTAAGTCAGCGAAAGCAGCTCGAGCTTTTCGGATCCGTGCTGAGATTTCATCGCCAATCAGCCCCCATCCTGTAAAATAAACACTGCTACAGAAACTTCAAGCCACCAGCTTGAAGCCCTATGTTCCAATGGGGAACGTGAAGGAAAAAAAACTAATAAATAAGAATGGATATGTATCAATAATCAATAATACTTGGTCAGAATCCCGACTGTCTATATCTTCTTATGGAGACGTTAAGAAATATTTTACAACTGTTTACCCCCCCCTCCACACACACACATACATACACACTCTGTTTCAAGTGTTTAACAAAGGTAGACCAATATTTGTAAGTCTGAGGTCAAACTTTGATCACAGCTCAGCTCATACAATTTTTTATCATACTTTTTGATGCCTGTTTCATGACGCATGATTGTGTGGTGAGAGCAGGCTGCTAGCCGATTGGTTGGCACTAATCTACGTTAAGGTCTAGGTCACTAATATGGGCCGTGAACAAGGCTGAGTCAACAACCAATCACAGCGAAGTTAACGTGGCAAAATATGATTCGCAGATAGAGAACTCTGTTTGTCAAGGAATCCCGAAACAACCAATCAGAAGCCTGCGTTTGTCTACCTAAACAACCAATCAGATGACTGCGCTTGTCTATAATAATGTTGTCTGAAATATGTATAAATACGTGTTGATTTTCATAATAAAACGATCTGTTGCCTGGCCCTTGTCTTCTGTTGTTACATTTGGTGTCGCTGCCTACCGACAAATGAAAAGCCTATACCCTGCAGTTTTTGATGGAGACATATGGATCTTCGGGCAGGACTTCAAGGCTTCTGCGCAGTTGAGTGGCGTTCAAGATCTGTCAGCGATGGAGCTGCTACTTGAGACGCTGCTGGGAGGTCGGGCGAAAGCAGCATATGAAGGTGTGGGCCGAAGTATGGACGAATGTTCGACAGGGTCAGGCAAACAGTTTCCAAAGTGGGAAGGACCATATATGGTCACTTCGAGATGGGGTTACGCAGACACAGTCGCAATGGCGAACAATGAGAGGCGCGTGAACGTCAGCGAGCTCCAGAAATGGATACAGCGAGACAAGCCAACGATGACGCCTGCACCAAGTAGATCAAGCCGACTTCAGTCGCACGTATTTGACGGGGGGACGAGTGTGGTGAGAGCAGGCTGCTAGCCGATTGGTTGGCACTAATCTACGTTAAGGTCTAGGTCACTAATATGGGCCGTGAACAAGGCTGAGTCAACAACCAATCACAGCGAAGTTAACGTGGCAAAATATGATTCGCAGATAGAGAACTCTGTTTGTCAAGGAATCCCGAAACAACCAATCAGAAGCCTGCGTTTGTCTACCTAAACAACCAATCAGATGACTGCGCTTGTCTATAATAATGTTGTCTGAAATATGTATAAATACGTGTTGATTTTCATAATAAAACGATCTGTTGCCTGGCCCTTGTCTTCTGTTGTTACAATTGGACAAAGTTTTTAAAAACAAGAGATGTTCCTTTTCTATATATAAACCTTTGTTATGTTAGTTAATTTCGATTAATTTCCCTGAAGAAGTTCGGACCAAATTGCCGGACGCAGGAAACGTTGGAATTACTCATTTTAATCTCGTTGAGAATTTACAAATATAATTACTTTTTACAAATGTCTACTTCTCACTCGGCGCTCAAATATTTTAGAACTATTCTGTCAAATCTTGACGACAGTTCATTTGAATACACTGATATCGCTTGCAAATTGTTCCTCCATCCCCATAAAACAATAAACTAGGTATCTTTTCAATTGGTATGTGATATGAAACCACGAGTAGCAATACTTGATAAGATCGAGTCATTACCAACAGTGGATTATGCAGAGATGAGATGGTGAACAGAAAAATACGCAATCGCAAATATGCAGTAGATAGTTATCGCTGATGCCGGAAAATCTCAGCAGAAGGATAAAAGTAATGAAGATAACATAAGGTAAAGTAAACCGTTAGAGAAGGGTACGATTAACGGAAGTCCTTACCGCACTGGCGACGACCATTTTATTGTCACTGAGAGACTCAACCCTGTCTACACTGTCAGAAGACGATACAAACAGAGACGTACTAACGACATAAACAGACAGAACCGAAGGATCTTCACGAGTTAGAGGAAAACTTTTGATGGAGCGACATGTGATGGCATGCGCTGATGCCAAGAATTTTCGGCTGGCATATTGTTCTACTCCTTCTTTAAAAGTCTTGAATATATATGAAGTTCTAGACAAATGTGGAAAATGGTTATCATAATAAAAGGCGTCGAATGAAGAGTGAGAAGCTGGAGAAAAAAGGGAAATTATCTTTGACAAACTGGATTTGTAATGTACAGTTTTTTACACTTTATTAGTACTGTATGGAATTCACCTAACAAACAATTCTTCACTAGTATTGTGGTGAGAGC